TCTTTTTAACAGACACTTGTCTAAAACAAAAAGCCTAAACAAAAATGCTCGTCATGAGGTCTGTCACAAGGTCACAAGGTTTGTAGTTTTACAGCTTTCTTCAACCAAATACATACTAGTTACATCCATACCTAGTTACATACAGTTATGCAACCATTTTGAGAAAATCAAAGTGACTCTTGAGACATACCACAGTGAATCACGATTAATTAAGTGTTGCAAAACTATTCTATACCGGGCCACAGAAAATACAGTGGCAATAACAATCAATGCCGCGCACGATGGGTAGGTTGGGGTACTACCTGATTGGCTGTATTTTCTATGGTTTGGTATAAAAACTACGAATCAATCTCCGCTTCAGGTAGACTGCAAGTAGTCCCTCTTTCGCTTAGTCCGTCGTGCGTGACGCGAAAGAAACCCGTGATAAAAGCTGAGACTTCGCGCGGCCATTTTTTTTTCTCGCGGTTTTCTTTCGCGTCACGCACGAATGACTAAGAGAAAGAGGGACTCCTCGTAGTCTACGTGTCGGAAAATGTTCGACGAATTTCCGGCGATGCAAAAACCTTAGTAATGGCTCGATAATCTAAGCCAAACTGCTCAGAAGAGTTCACTTGCAATATGTTTTTGCTTCCCGCTGTTTACAGCTGGATTGCCGGCAATGTATGACCCTTTTAATAGTTGCGAGAAAGTAAACCTGCCATACAATAACTGCATAAGTAATGAGGAGTCAAACTGGGAAATTAGTTTCCCGGTAAGACGTACGGCTCGGAAAGTATATCAGTAATGAAAAATAATGCCCTTAACCCTATACATCCATCTGAGTAATCCTTCCCTTTTCAGTACCGAAAAACGTGACACGAATAAGAAATATTCCACTCAAAATGCTTTATCTGGCACTGAATTGCTCGTGACGACAAAGAATGCAGTAACATGAATTTCAAGTGATTCCAAATATAGCACAAATTGCGCACGGGAAAGTCTTTCTAAGAAATAAACAAACGCAGAAAGTGAACAAATGACATATTTTTCCTAACATAGAGCTCTAGGAAATGCAAAGCAAATATCAATTCACTCTGGGAAGAAACTCGAAATAATCAAAATATAGAAAATGGAAAAAATATGCAAGTGACGAACGAAGAAAATAAATATTTTCTCATTTTAAAACACGACAGCGGTTAAATTCTTAATAACGCAAATTGTGTTCATAACGTAATAACATGCGAGACATAGGTTAAATACTGGGGCATTGCAACCACGAGAAACATCATTTTGCCTTCTTATAAATAAAAACATTCTTGACTGGATCAGAAAGGACCCTTCGAATCTTTACGAAAAGAAAAGAATAAATACATAAATTTTACATGGTTACGCATGCACCAGTGAACAACAAACGACATTTTCAGGAAAAAACGCAAAAGATCAGTTACTTAGCCAAGTTAAAGTTGAAATATGTAAAGAACCTTAAAGCTGAAACTCGAGTTTCCTTGTATGAATACTTGCCTTACAGGTGAATTGTCAATAAGCTCCGTATAAAATAAACAAACTTCACCATATTGCAAGCCGCTACAAGCCGCTACAAATCTGATGTACAACTGTATTTTCATAAATTTCATCAGAACAGAGCCCGCTTCGTTGTTCGAAGCTCGAGGAAAAACAAAAAAACATCACTGACGGTTCCCCAACAACAGCGTAATTAATCATAGCTATAAACGATTTTTGACATCGAAGGATCATGAAGCTCTGTGGTTTCCGCTCGCGTGTAGCACTAATTTTGTTCCTTTTGCCCGGAATAACAACACAATGAGCTACGAGACTCACAAACACAACTTTAAAAACGTTACGCCGCGTGTTTCAAAAGTTGCAAATGCGTTTCAATATAAAAATAATAATAATTCGGGCAAGAGATCGAAAGGCCACAATTCGGTGCCCTAGCTGCCTAATGTACCGTGTACATATAACGAATTCACACTCCAAATTCACAAAATGGACATTTAAACTTGTTATTCGAGGCCTAGACTAGCACTTACTCTCTAAATGTAGAATGCTAGTTGGAATTTAAATCAAACCAAACAATAACTACAATTCACGAATAGAACTGGTCGCACTTCGTACCTGTCGGAATAATTTAACACGGCTTGGGCGGATGTAAAGAAAAATCCCTTTTCTGAGGCAGTATTTAAACCACAACCACTCCTCTCTTGGATTTCCAGGAAAAACAGTTCTGACAACGCAGCGTCTATAAACAAAAAGGTCGATTCGAAGACGATGGCATGGAAGCACGGACCATCGCTTTGTCTTCAAGCGCATTTTGACAGCAGCTCGGCCTGTGGTCATTATCTTATTCAGCCACTTCTCCGTTGTCTCTTTCCTTCAAACGACGCTAAATTACGCTGTAACCTAGCCATAAGTTCTAGTTTTCCCTCCAGTTTCTTTCAAGGAGAATCTCGAGCAGTTTGCCAAGCATATTTGCACGTTTTGTTTCAAATGAACGCTTCGCCGTTCAACACTGTATCAGACAGGTTAGACTGTTGTGTAATTCATGAGCTATCCACCGCATTAACATACACCACTGATAACCAATTGTTTTTCAATCAATCTGACTTCGCGCGGCATAAGACAGTTTACCAAGGCACCAAAGCGATAGCTTTAATATTTCGATTTTGGGTCAAGAGTATGTACGCGTGTTTACGGTGATATTATTGACATTGAGAAAAACTTGCTTCAGGTTGAAAGACAAGAATAACACAAAAAAATTATGAATAATTGATGAGCCAGGCTAGGACACAAAGAAACAAACAGCTGTAAGAGAGCTTTGTTTTCATTACACTAGAAATGCATAAACTAAAATCGAATACAAAGTTCTGACTCTCGCGCATTTCATGTTCAGAGTAACGCTAGATTTGTTCGCCTAACGCTTTCGCCCGTTAAAGAAACCTTTACGCTTTTTTCTCACATAAATAGCAGGTACAATTTACATAACATAACAGTTTTAATAAAAAGACAAGGATTTTTTGAGTGTCATTTAAACTAACATGTTTTATGAATACATGAACATGTACAAGTACTGTTCCTTTATTCATCCTAATGCCGTTAAATTGAGAAAACGGGCGACTGGTATGTTAAACTTATACTAGCTGGGAAAGGGTCCGCGCGAGATTCGAGTCCACACGTGTTCTGAGGAACTTATTGTCACTTGATTTGCGCTTGCTCCTTGTTACCTTTTTCCACTGTACAGTGATCAATATTTAATCTCTCCTGACATTATCAATACAATGTCAAACAGACAGGTAAGGAGAATAAATAGAATCATCAACAAGATATCAAGAATACGCTATGGTTGTAGGAACAATTTCTTTTTTGAACACGCGACACTGAAAGTTTCTGAAGGACTGAAGTGTGCTGAGATCTATCAATATAACATGCATTTGCTATCACCTCATCATCTCCAATATTCTTCATAATCAAAGACAGCAATATGTTAAAGTTGTCTTCCCATAGCTCAGGTGTCTCCTCACGGGCCATTCTCAGTAACTCTCCTAAAGCCTCTTTCTTGTCCTCGGACTGCATACCGGAGGGTGCCCCCAAGGGAACCATGACAGGAGATAAAGCGTCTGCGTTTTCTAGGGACACATCTGTAAAGAAATACAACTCCATGAGATGATTTAACCTCCACCTCTCTACAACGGCCCCTTTAGACTACTTATTAGGGAGCTTACGAAAACCACGACAGCAACGGCAACGTCGCTAATAAAACGTTTAATGAGGGAAACCATGGCTGTGCACGTGTGTTATAATTCTTGGTACATTTCTCTGCCGTCCTCTGCAAAACAACAACGTGAAATGACCAAGTTCTGCGTTGTTTGGAGAAGTAAGTAAGTAAGTAAGTAACTTTATTTAATGAGAGTAAAAACACTTTACAGTCATTGACTGATAAACTCGTGGCCCTCCGTTAAACAATTAAAATATAAATCACAAAGATATTAAAAATATCTAACTATGAATAATAATAAGTATAAAACTGGTAAAATTAATAACATCAATAAAATGGACTAAAATCTTGTTGGTGCATGCGATACAAGGAGTTAGAGGACACTAAGAAATTGTGAAATGTTCAATATTTGCATACCCCTTCTTTATAAGCTTGACGCATTTCTCTTTAAAAACATTAATGCTATCACNAGTGCTAAGTTTAGCACTGAGGAAGGGCTATCCCGAAACGTCTACTAAAAACATCGTTTTTAATTTGGCACCGAGGTATTACTATTTACAACTTTTGAACTGTTTACTGTGCCGCGCAGCACCTGATCCTTTTGGATTACAAATATTTATTACAATGTGTGGTGACGGGTTGCTGTTCAAAAGGAACCACAGTCGTGCCAAAAAAAACATCAACTGAACATGCAAGCGAAATACAATTTTCTTATCTAATATCTTACCATGGGAAGTTTACTCACTGGATGAAAATCATTTTGTTGATCTTGATACTGCCTCGGGTCATACTTATGTCCCGCGGGTCTTTCCGTACTTGGCGGTTCAGCCGCAGGTTCAGCCGCAGCAGTAGCTTGAGGGTTGTTTTCCGCATGGCCGGATGTGATGTCGTCACTGTTGTACCCGGATGAAACACTCGGGGCGTCTTCCGGTTGGCGAAGCGCACCGTCCCCACCGTGAGGGGGTGGGGGAGATGCGTACCTTCCATCTAAAGACTCATTCGAGCTTACAGTCTCTACCTCGGTGTTGCTGTCTCTGTGAAAAGAGCTGTTGTTTGTCCGCGGTGAAAAACCGATTCTCGTCTGCCCGCCCCGAGGGCTTTGAGTTGTTTTCGTCGGAGTGGGTATCTTCGTGTGGTGCTCGGGAGAGCTCGGATGATCGGCTCGGTTTTCGTCCTTTATCGGAGACGCCCCTTTCATTGAGGATGACGACAGCGTTCTGTAGCCCAGTCTTAGCCTCGGTCTCTCAACCGAGGAGGACATACTGTCCACGTCGTCAAAGGTTGAGGCAGAAGATGACGGCGAACCACGGCCAGCAGCAAACGGCTGGAGAAAACAAAAGTGGAGTAATGATTAGAAAAAGTATTAATGACAATTTAATATTACACTGGCGGAACTAGGAAAGGGGGGGGGCGGGGGCCCCAGCCCCTCCCCTCCTATTTTAGGCAAAAAAAAATCCCAGGGGGAAGAAAAGCCGGCAGGGGCAAGCAATCCCCACCCCCTTAGCTCAAGGTCTGGATCCGCCACTGTATTACACCTGCACGAGCAATTAACATACAGCTCTATGAACGGGGTTCAACACTAATCGTTCTTATCTTGCGAAAAACAGAATGAGCACACGCGTCAAATATTGAAAACGACTAAGGGAATTTTTCAAATTCGAAAACAGACGCGTCTGTTCAAAACATAATAGAACAAAGGGACGCCGAGAACTGCTGAGAATACATTAAGAATTCTTAATGACTTAACAGATTAAGCAAGTGACATACCTCGGTGCCCTGGGTACTACTTTTGAGATGATTATGANTTCGGAGCGAAAATTTGTATGAATATTAGTTTTCAGCTGCTCTTATACATCATTTAAGTTAAATCCAGGAGGATCAATAGTTTTGTAGTTCGAATTTTAGTGACGTCACGTGAAAACCAACAATTTATTTTTAATTTTATTTTAACGGCTTAGCCCTACGCTCTTCCCGAACGTTAGGTGTTTTGACGTCGTAACTGTTAAACACATGGGCAAAAGGCAAAGGTTTTACTTAATTCGTGCTCAATTTATTAACATCTAAAAAATGCAACTAATAACCTCAGAAAATAAGAAGTTACAAAAGGGATATCTGCAAGACGTTGCTTAACACGATGCTTCGTATGAAAGTAACGCAGAGAACAAAAAAGCAAAAGAAAGACTTATTTTATCCATTACCTGAAATGATTTAGGCAGTACTGTTAACATCATGCTGAATTCTGGAGTGTTCAGTTCGAACAAAGCTACAATGACGGCCGCGGATTCCTAGCGAAAAAACATAGGAAAGTAATTATCGTAACAAGAAATAATTATTCACCGAAATTATTCAAGTTGAATAAATTAGCAACAATTACCTTTCTCACGTCTGCGCTCTTAGGCTCCGTGGTCCACGTGATTATCCTGGAGACCGCCAAACGTGTTTCTTCGTCAAGTTAAGGTCACCAAATGTCTCTAACAAATCCTGAAAGCTTTTTTGGCACTGATTTCAAAATAAGACACAAACCAAATTTAGGGCAATTTAACCTAGCCTATTCCAGCCAGCAATAGGCTAGGAATAGCTTTTCGTTTTTTCCAACCATGATCTTTTCTTCAATATCTAAAATTCACGTACAATCTCCCAACAAGTATTAAAAGAAATCTATGGAGATCAGTGAGGAGTATTTGCATCTTGACATAAAGTTATAACAAAGCAAAAGGATACCACCAGAGTTGGTAAAATCACTTGGATCCATTAGGCCAATCAAACCTTGCAAATACTGCAAGATGGCTATTTTGACCTGCAACACAAAAATAACGCATTTTAAAAGTCAATGCGAACACGCTGTCTCACGACAGGGAAATCTCTGTTTACAATATATGCCTCGTTAGCATAAGCGATTCACTTTCTGATCAAGTTACAAAAAAATCAGCTCTGAATATTGAAAGGGTATAACACAATAAACTGTCCCACGGAATTTGAGAACGATGTATTAAATAGTTTTTGTGCCACGCAGTTTTAAAACTCAAAATTTAACAAAGAATGCAAGGGTTTGTTAGCGCTTTTGCCACCCAGAAATTTTGCAGTATTTNATTTTGACCTGCAACACAAAGATAACACATTTTAAAAGTCAATGCGAACACGCTGTCTCACGATAGGGGAATGTCTGTTTACAATATTTGCCTCGTTAGCATAAGCGATTCACTTTCTAATCAAGCTACAAAAAAATCAGGCAGCCCTGAATGTTGAACGGGTATAACACAATTGACTGTCCCAAGGAATTTGAGAACGATGTATTAAATAGTTTTGTACCACGCAGTTTTAAAACTCAAAATTTAACAAAGAATGCAAGGGTTTGTTAGCGCTTTTGCCACCCAGAAATTTTGAAGTATTTGAAAGACAATATCGCCCTCAATAGCACACCCAAAGAGCTAAAACCCTTCCCATGCACTGAGTTTCACTAGCTCTTTAACTGTTCGGATTCAAATCATATGTGACATGACGCCTTCTCTACGCAAAGTCGCGTGCTAATGGTGAAGTGTAAACAATAACGTCACAGAGATGGCCTTATACAAGCTCATCCACTATAGCTCTCCACCAATAAGCGTTTGAGAATTCGGCGAGTTATTAAAAGTAACGGTTGGAGCTACCAAACACAATGTGAATACCTTGAGGTTCGGCGTCTGGGTTTGATCCGTGATGAATCTTGTTAAGATACTGAACTGAAGATCATATGGAAATGAATCTCTGGAAAAATAGAAANTTGTGTTCCTGATAGTATGTTTAGTTATCTTAAGTAGTTTCACAGTGATTTCCTTCGTTTCGACATGCTCCGAATAAAATATGATAGCCAAACTCTCGCATGTAAACAAAAACAAAGGTGTGGCTGACCAGGCCCCTTTAAGTGAAGCCAGTGGGAGTGAAGTCTTCTGCACCGTATGCTAAAACAAGGTTTGAAATAAAATAATAAGTAAAATACTAATAATCCGTTACAGATGATGTTTTACCTTATTGTGTGGATCGAAAAACAATCTTGTGAGACATTCCTTTATCCGTCCAAGATCTATTTGGCTGTTGGCGACAAAACCAAGAAACAACGGTAAGTTAATTCGATGTAACTTCCCTTTACTAGAGAGGTTTTCATTTGAGTGTCAAAAAACCAAAGCCAGAGTTATCACTCTGACCAATCACAAAGGACGCAGAAAACCCGGTGAACCAATCAAAACTTGAAGTAATAACACGTAGCTGACGCGAAGCGCGGGAAAATGTGTGCGGGGGAGTCACGATTGGTTTTGGTTTTACTTCTGATTGGATGAAAAGTGGAGCGAGTTTTTTAACCAATCGTGCGGTGCAGTGATGCAAAAGCAATCACTCTCCGACACTTCATGAAAACCACTCTATCTTATCACAAACTTAAGCAAGCAGTTTTCTAGAATATAGGAAATAACCAACTAGGAAAAAAACCTGACTAAAACTCTCCTACGAGAACTTTTGCAAAATGTTATAATAATAATAGCCAACTTTATTTATTGAGGGTAACACACAACAGTTATCATTGAAAAACCAGTGGCCCTCAAAAAGGAGAAAGGAGAAAGGAGAAAGAAAAAGGAGAATTTATAAGATGAACAAAACAAAAACTTGAGAACAAACCTGAGAACGCCAGAGTTTAGAAGAAAACTTTGAAGACATATGACACCGTCCCGTCTATCGGACCATACATTACTGCTGGTTAAACGAACGATCTCTGCCACCTCCTGAAAAACAAATACGAAAACCACAAGTCAGGGGGGAGGAAGGTAAAAAGAAAACTTGTCCGGTGTCCTTGGCTAAAAGAGCAGTGCAGAAACTTTACAAACTAGTTAAAATATTTAAATCACTTCACCCCATTCTATTTCAGACAGAAACAATTCACAAAATGCATCACAATGAAGCGAAATTATTTTGACGAGTTATTCTTTTTAACAGACACTTGTCTAAAACAAAAAGCCTAAACAANTCCTTCCTCGGGAAGAAACGAAGCCCGGACTTGAGAGAGCAGCGGACATCAAGCGCAAGTGCTGAACAGGTCTCTTAATTTTGGCAAATTTACACTGGATTAAGATATTTCGTGCCTTACTTAGCCTGCAGGCGCTTTCCGTGTGTTCACGAGTTATCGGTATTAGTTCGTGATCGAGTAGATTTGCCGCCAAGTTGGCTTAGGAGAAGTGAGCGGGGAGGGGGTCTGGGCTTACTCCTCACTCCTCCCTCTTGCTCCTCTTTCAGCCTCATTACTACCCCCTAGGACGCTTTTTTGCCTCTCCCCAAGCCTCTCTCGAGTCCCAATCCAAGATGGTGTTCGCTCGATCAAAGTGCGCTCGCTCGCCAAAATGCCTTGCTGTGATCAATTCAACTTACGTTTCCAGGTTCCAATACTTTATGATGATTTCGAGATCCTTTAGAGCTGTAAGACCTCTCTGATGATATACTCGCTACATCACTATCATCATCATCAGAACACTGCGAGTTTGTTGAACCAAATGAATATTTCCTCCTGGAAGGACTTTTATGCTACAACAAAAACAACACAAACAAAAACCCCTCAGATCAAACTATTAATTCCGGTGTGGGGGTCCTCAGGCTTCAGGTATATGGAAGGGTAGGAATTTCACAAGTTGAGGTTTATGAAAGGGCAGGGATACCTGTCGTTTAGATACGTGTACGGGAACTGGATAAATAAAACCTATTTTTGGATATAATCTCTTCTGGTAATGCCGGATGTTCTCTCATAGTATTGTTCATTGTCTTCACTCCAAGGGTTTAGAAAAGAGATGCAGTGTTCTGAGGCAAGTACGTGAGAGAGATACCAGGGTAAGGGATTGGACCTCGGGACGGAGCTTCGGAGCTCCCCGTTCAAAACTTTGTAGAGACCCCACCCCGGCTACCTTGCCTACCGGTACCCATACATTTCTTATAAACGCCGGTCTGACAATTTCGTGGTACATCAAGATAAATATTTCACTGTTCATGGTTTTCTTTATTCTCAAGGCAATTCTACCGCAGGGTTATAATGAACGAATAAGAAAAACGACAACAGAGGAGTTATACAATGAAAACAAGACTTCTAATAACAGGTGAAGGTGACAACTATAAGAGTGAAGACTGGAAAGAGCGACTTACCCAAGCGTCCCAAACCGCTGCTTCAGTGACGCCTTTAGCTGTGGGCTCACCTTGACCTGACTGTTTCGCCAGAGGAGGATCTACAACAAATATGGACGAGATAAACTTAGAATTGTTCGGATTGCGCGTGCGATAACATGTGTCTGGATGCGGTTTTAATGTTTCGTTGTCAAATATTTTGTTGCTCGGAAATATTAGCTGGTCAAGCTACTCTAAAATTCGAGCTTAAATAAAGTTTATGTATGTATGTATGTATGTAAGCACATATTCTATGAAGCCGAAATGTTTGCGTGGGCTTGATATACAAAGTATGTCAGCCCCACTATACCAATGTCTCGTGATTCTGGTAACGTGCCCTCGCCGTGCCGCTTACTAGGACTTGTAACTAATAAGATTCTCCAAAACTGTTGCAAGAGGAAATCTCGGACTGTTAACCATGTGAAGAAACTCAGCCTGCCTATTTACATTCTTCCGAGTTAGCTTGTGCCTCTGTTCCAATACGAGTCTTCCTACAAAGAGACTCGTTTCTGACACAGAGACACAAGGTAAGTCTAAAATGGCCTAAAGTACATCGAGTTCCCGAAAACGTCACCGAAAGAGTTAATCGATCTAATTAAAGTAACCTCAAGTATGCTCGCATTGCGGAACAAAAGAGCTGCTGTTTCTTCATCTTGCAAGGTTTTTAAACCCAGACGCCAAATTTGATTCATTTTCCACAACCTGTCAAAAGCCTAAAATTCCCACCTAGTTTTCTCTTTACTTCGTTTTCTTGTATGCTCATTCAGTACTTTATTCATTGTTTCCCATCGTACTTACTGTGTAATGGACTGGTCTTTTTCATCACGGGCAAGTGACTAGGACTGTAACCTCTTTCCACACTCAACCGCCTGTCTCCTCTCCTGTCAGGACTCGTGTCTCGACTCGCTCCGCGTGAGCTCGCTCGTGAACTCGCGCGTGAGCTGCATTGAGACGCGGTTCGCGCGCGACTAAGAAAAATAACAAAAGGAGACATAAGTTAGAAACTGCAACAAATTACGCCGTCGGTTGTGTGTTAACATGAACGCGAGGAAAGTGAAAATAAACGGTCGGGTACTAGAGTGTGAAAGATAAAGAAAAGACTGCTGTAAGTAATTTATTACACAACCTGTTAGAGCTACCAGAGCGGTATTCTAATGATTTACGCGAAACTGAAGTCAGAGCAACGGAGGAGTCAATCAATACAGAGCTATCAACTGAGAGTAAACATGTAACTGGTTGTAAGCGCGGGAAAAACGTGCTACCAGCGGGAAGCGCGGGAAAAAGTGACGTAATTCAATTCACGGTTAAAGTTATTGTTGCCTCTGATTGGATGATTTGATAAGACCTTCACTCTTATTGGTCAGAACCAATTAGAGCTCAGCAAATGCAAATCACAGCAAGCGAGTACAATTCATTTATAAAGCCATTAGAAAAGCGCTCAAAAATTATCAATGAACAAAAGGATTATTCTAAGTACAAACGTGCATGGATTTCGACAGTCCTATTCGAAACGCCTTAATCTTGTTTGTTTATTCGTTTGTTTGTTTGTTTGTTTGTTTTTTTGTTAGCGGGTGGATTTAAGTTTGTTAGTGATTGCTGGTAGATGTTCCTTTGAAATATTTTCAAGCTGAGTTAAAAGTTACAACGGTTCTCGACAGCTATTCCAATCAAGCAAAACGACTCAGTGTGGTAACAGCAAGAGGTTCTGAAGAGTAAGAGGTTAAAAGAACCACAAGGCAGAAATCAGCGTCAAAGTAGATTACTCACAAACTGGGAACAGGAATATAGGAGATAGAAGGATTAGGAAGCGGTCTGGGCAGAAACTCGAAGCTAAGATGTCGAGAAATACTGCAACAAAAGAAAGTGATAACACAAGAGTCAGTTGTGCATGACCATCACAAGAATAAGAGTTAGTTTGACGTGTGTAGTTTCGGTTTGACAAGATTAATGAACAAAGTGTACGAGACGAACGTGAAAATGACAGAAAGAGAAAACAGAAAGTTAAAAAAAAGGCGAGAAGAAGAGAACTGGATAAACCAAACAAGAGGTAATCGCAACAGAAAAACAAAGCAAAGCGAAACATGTGAATAAAAAGAAAGACCAGAAAAAGACCAATCAAAGTCAAAAGAAGACATTTGACGATGCGCATTACACATAACTATTTATCAATTTGAAGATGATGAAGATAAAATGACACCGTGGCGAGTAAGCGAGCTTCACTAACTCGCCAAGGCGGCTAATTCACCTCTATCAACTTCTAATTAATGAATAACTACCAACAGTTTATTTAGAAACTAGCACTTTTGTAACGCGTTACACAGGCTTGTATAGAGAGCGTTTGACTTCAAGGGGCTGAGTTAAGATTATGTACATTACTGAAACTACTGCTCCCAGTCTCAGTTTCGAGTTTGATATCTGAAGTGTCCAGATAAGTAAACCGATGGTTAATTAGGAATAAATTATATAAACCATTACTTTTTTACGTTAGTGTTAACTTATTTTACGATTACGTTATATTGCAGTTACATTACTTTTTACTGTGTTAAGTTAATACAATTAAACGTTATTACTCACAGAGATTTAGGAACAGGGAGAAAAGAGCGAGACAAAGAAGGGGAGGCGAGGGGAGACTGGCACCTGGGGCTAGTCAGAGCCTCGCTGCTGTAATGTTGAGAAGCACTGGAAAAGACAGCAAAATCAATTAACATAAATTATTACCATAAAAGGTCAAAACAAAATTACTCGGTTAGTAACAAGATTGACAAAGTGCGGTACGGAGGATAGAAAAGTAATCTGAAGACAGAGGACGGTGTGAAGGATAGAAACTAATCTGACGGAGATGCGAACTATGTGGACGAACGATGAATAACGTTGGATATATCAAATTCAAGACAAGATTGACAGGCAGTACTCACAGAGGTTTTCGAACAGGGAGTAAAGAAGGAGAGCTAGAGGGAGGGGATTGGGGCGACTGGCAGCCAATGCCAGCCAGAGCCTCGTTGCTGTTATGCCGAGAAACACTGGAAAAGAATTGACAACACAACACAACAATTAAGATAAACTACAACTACAGCGTCATGACAGAAATAAACTTAGTATGGGACTCGTAGACATTTCCTCGGCATCTTTACGCTCCTTGAAATAATTTCAAAACTCTCGAACGAATTTATCCATGTACTGTAAGAGAGGCCCCTTGTTTTCTACCTATACGGTAGTTCTTAACAATTTGATTCACAATGGCCGCCCAAGTAACAAAGAGGAAACAAAACGTAAGAGAGGTCGCCATTAAATGAGATCGTAAGCAGATAAAGCACTCGCCTTTAACCTTAATAACCATCTGTACTATATTCTAAAACGTTGCTAAACCCGACCTAAATACTTAGTCATCTATCAACCTCAAATACTAAGCCTTTATCCAATATCACCTTTCTGACTCGTGGCCAGGCCCTAAAATACTCAATCCTGACGACCTGACGGTCTGTTTACCATACAACGGTGCATTAAATAAAGGCACGATAAAGACAAAATTTGTATCCAGAGTCCATGTTTACCCATCTCCGGACAGAAAAATCGGCGGTCTGAACACACGTTAACTGGGCACGAAACGAAATTTATAAGTGCCATACTAAAAATCTAGTGGTGTAATTGGCCTGTAAATTACGCCCAACTTTTAAAGCCATTGAAAACCCTAAACTAGTACCTTTTTGGTGGGGGGAGAGGGGAGGTGACTTCAATTTCACTAGTGGTTTAAGATTTGCGACGATTATACATGCGAAAATTTATCCTCACAAAGAAAAGGTAGATGCTGCTCGTGTGATGTAACACAAATGAAGAACCATCACAGCATATCACCAAAGTTTGTTCTGTGAAATATTAACTGGTGCATTTTGGAACGTTTCGCGAAAATAAAAGGCGTCAAGATATATAATTACACAGTAACAGCACTTGCAAGGCGAAAGTTCCAAAGACATGATAAGAAATAAAATAGAGCTCAACGAATTTTACAGACTACTGACAATGACAACATGACAAGAATCATGAAGCATCGTTTATCACACAGAGTGTAAGAAGGAATATCAGAGAAAAGAAGAACATCTTGATGAAGATGTCAATGGCGGTTACCTTGGAGTGGGTATTTTTGTCCTCCCTGCTAAGCTTTCTCTTCGACAGTATGCCTCAGACCTCTCTCTGGGAGGAAACGTGGACAGCAGTCGCTCGGGGGATTGAGATCTACTACCAGCTGAAAAGAGAACAACAAACGATTCGTTAGTGGCACAGCGGCATTTGGCAACAACACTGTGCATGCTTCAAGTTCCTCGTACTATTCTCGCACGAGAGGGAATGGGTACCATGATATTTTCAAAAGAGAACCCGCGTCAAAATGGCGCCAATTTAAAATCTCAGCCACTTGTTTTCATTTCAGAGGGCTATGGTCATGACGAAACAGCTACGGCTTCTATGTCGTAGACATGTCTTCTGGAAATGTTTCTTTCATAGATCTTTCTTTTAGCAAAATAGTGGTCTTTGCTACATAAGAAAATGTTTTGCTATAAGCCGAGCATTCGTATCAAATTTGTACTAAGTGACCTTCCTCAAAGTCAATCCTGAAAACTATTTAGTCATCTTCGTCGAAGTTACAATGCCTTCTGGGTAGCAGGGGTGGCGCAGAGGTGAGAGCGCTCGTCTCCCACCAATGTGGCCTGGGTTCGATTCCGGCCTGGTGTCATATGTGGGTTGAGTTTGTTGTTGGTTCTCGCCTTGCTCCGAGGGTTTTTCTCCTGGTTCTCCGGTTTTCCTCCCTCCAAAAAAACCAACATCTCCAAATTTCAATTCGACCAGGAAAGGGGACCTGCATGAAAACTAGCTGAGGCCGATGTGGCTTCCGCACTAAATATAGTAAATTTATTTTTAAAAAATCCTTTCTGTATATTGGTGGCTTCATATCCGAAAAAAAGATGCCGCATTCCTTTTAGCAATTCCCAACACTGAGTATGCACAGCCATTTTGCCGCTTATAAATTATAACATACTCGCGCCGCACACGAAAGTATCGACTTTACTTACGTTGAGATACTGTGCCCCTTGACGGATACTGGGTCCGAGGTTGCCGCTGTTGCACGTGGTGATTTGGAGGCGACACGCGGGGTAACGCTGGCCGGGTCTTGGAGCGCGCGCTGGCTCGTTCAGTGGACCGCTGATCAATGTTACTGAGGGAGCGGCCCAGAGCAGCCATGGGAGACAGAAGGGATCCTGGAGTCTTGGACGCCACGGCATGACGGGAATCTACAGGAAATAAAAATAGATAACACTTTCAATCGTCCATTACTTTCCTGCTGTTCGTTCTTCATTAAGTTATGTTCATTCGTGATTTTCTGATAAAGTGCAGTTTTTTGGCAGTTTAACTTTCGGTGTTTCCGTATATCCTTTTACACTTTTGTAGGACAATCTGCCTCGAATCAGGAGTAAACACCAGGATGAGTAGAGGCACTATGCATCTTTCTACGAAATCAAAACACAGCGACACTGTCCAGGGATCATTACCTTCTCTGTGATTGGTTCTCGCCGCCCGGCTCGAAGCTCCTACTGTCTGACGGGATGGCGCGGTGTGACGCGAACTGAAAAGAAGGCGAAAACACCAACACAAAATAATCAGTCACATGACAACTTGACAGTCGACTGCAGAACAGCCCCCTTGCATACGGCTGACATTTGAATTGACCAATCAGGATTCAGCAGGCGGGAAAAACTTTACTGTCCGGACGTCAATGTAAGTTAACAGGAAAGGCATTGAAATCAGGCAACTTTGCTCACTAGAGATGGCATTAAAATACTCACGAAAAGGGATTTACAGTTCCAAAAACCATATCAGATTGTAAAAAGTGAAAAATATGAAACATTTTGTCTCCAAGCTTCTAATTTGGCGCCAAAAATGGGTCGCTGACGTCCCGCATGCCAACTTGCTCGTAGTTCGTCGAGTGTCGCCAGGTAGGATAATAGTTGTCTTATTTTGAACAAAATGTGCTGTTCCTCGTCAAATTAAACACGGAATTCTCAAGTTAACTATTAGAAGAGACCAAAGCAACTTTAGCATTGTCTTTAGTTTTGTTAGCTGCGAAGAAAAAAGCTATTATGGTGTCTTTTCGGTAGGAAAGCTTAGTTTTGACTGCCGCTCGTACTGCGGGCGCAGCCGCCGTATGTAAGGCCGTGTTCAACCCGGGTATTACAGCTCCAGGTCGATAGGCAAAACGCATCCAACCACAGACAAACGAATGAAAAAAAAATGTTCTTCGGTTTAACCTTCATCTACCGCAAAAACCGCAACATTCAAAATACTTTTCATGGTTTTCCACTGATTAGGCAATATTTGAAATTATATTGTAACAGAATAACCTGTGGTAAACACTCCACTATAGTTAATATTGAACGATTTAAATGGACAGTATATTTGAGGCGGATTGTTGATTCAGTACTCCAATTATCCCACAAAACGAGGTGAACGCAAAGTACAGAGGCGGTTAGCTATTGTAAAGAAATCCAAGTTAACAACAATAATCTATTGAATTTCATCTCTTTCTAATTACCAAACCAAAAATGAAAACAAACCAGTACTGTAGAAGTTAGAAAATTTAACACGGAGCTCTGTGCAGATTCAATATCAGTTTTCAAGTATTCTGTTTTCGCAATGATATAAAACTCGATTTTTCAGATCTTCTTGTGCTGTTCTTCTAGTTTCCAAAAGATATTGTACAGCATGTATATTAAAATTGGCACGCGAAATGAACCATAACAGGAATTAACATTACTTATAAATATCAACACAGAAAGCCACAAAAGGCTCGATTTCACACACGTTTTGCACAAAAGGAACATTGGTTCCACACTTCAGCAAATTGACTGTAAAAGGACAGAACATAGAAAACACGCTTTCCCACTGATATGTTATCCATCTATTTTGCACGCTTCGCAGGAGTAAATTCCGCACTATTCAATTGAACAACTATACAATGAAATCTAATTAAGATCACTCCAAGTTATTATACTCGACCAAAAACGTCGAAAAATACAAAATCCGCACGAAATATCAAAACCCAACGAGTGAAATTCTTGCATTATAATAACTAAACGCACCGACAAACATGCGATTTGAGTTCATAGCCCGAAGCAATAACCATCAGACGGGAACAAGACTAAATTATAACAACCTCATGGATTAATTCAACAATCTATGTTCACTTGTTTAACACACGCTCGCCGTACTTCCACGTACCTCGTTGTGCCGTCTTCACTTGCAGCACTTGATGAACGCACTCGGTTACCGGGTGCCGGTTTGCTTGGTTTAACAGACACAAATCGACCGGACGACGAAGTTTTTGCTGGACCGAGGTTGGAAAGATTACGGTCGTTTTCCAATTGCTTCTGCTTGGAGGCATCGAATGACTTTAACAAGCTGTAAGAAATAAATAATAGGATTTATTTCCATTAGACCAGGAAAATTTCACTGGAAAAATCAAATTGTGGCTCCATGCGAGAATTGCGCAGTACTTGTAGTAGTACATCCATGATGGTTGATCTTCGATGTAGCAAAGCGCCATCAAGACAGAACTTGTTATACCGGAATAGCGAGCAATATCTTAACTGCATATATCACTATTCTTAAGCACTGTTCTGTTGGCATTTAGTGACGGCAAAAGCTCTAAGTATCTCGCATTATGAGAGCTAAAAGCAACGGACAAATTTAAGTCAAGTTGTTGACCCTTATACGAATCTATTCTGTAGGCGATTTAAACAACTAATTAACCCGCCATGAATATTTATAAAGATAATTCTGGTCAGAAAGAGACAGCTGAAAGGAAGTTACAATAAACGAAAGCCTTACTTCTCTGCCTTGTCTCGAAAGTGTTCGTGGTAGTGCCAGAAAGACCTGAAAACATAGGAAAACATGCGTTAAGACATAGAAAGGTGCTAATTTTTGCTCAATATTGTTAAGAAGTTATAGGTATCTAACTTAACAGCTACATTCTTCTTTTCAAAAGAAAAGCGCTGTAGAGTTTGCACAATCTCTTGGGGGTGTTAAGCCGTTTTCACCGTAAGCCGCCCGCTAACATTACTGTAAAGAAACTGAACTTACACGCAAACGGCCATCGCGCATTGTTTGCTTTTGAACCTTGTCAGCCCTAAACACTGCGTTCAGATTCTCCTTAATGGCTTTCTTACATTTTCCGTTACTTATTTTAAAAGAATTTGGCTTCTGATCAGCACGTAACTCTTACTTCTTGTACTAAGAAGATTTTTTATTTCAGCACTCAAGGAAGGAAAACGCTGGACACAATTACTTTTGCCCGACCGTCTGTTTGATGGTTTAAAACAAAAAAAAAGTCAATTCATTTATTATCAAGTTTATCGTCATAATTTGGGGTGTTCATCATCGCTCACTTCACACATAATTTCAAAACCTGACGAAAACATTCACTTAAAATCTCACATAAAGAACAGGTGTCAAGCGATAATACAGAAAGGTTCTCATTCACGGCTAACAGCTATAAGAGTCATGTAGAGTTAAGTCCTTTACGCAACACGCACGTTATTTCAACGTGTTCAAAAGGTCTAAACATTTACAGGTGTGAGGCAAAGAATCACTCATATTGACTCCATCAACAAAAAAAGCCGAGTTTGGAGGGCGCAACACCCTTAGTAACAGCAAAAAGATGGAAGTGTTCTGGTCGACATAAGAACAGCATACATCGTTCACAACAAACTAGAACTTTTAAGGTCAGCAATTGGAATTTGCGCCTTTGTTGAGGCAACAGATAACGCGATATTTGATGATAACCAAATTCTCCCTAAGAAGAAAGAGAAGTCTACCAGGGCAGGTAAGGAGAATATCCATGTGTATCGTTACCTTCGTGTGGCTGCCCTAGCCTCAGGATCTGCATCAGAAATTCCTTTCCGTATCGCTTCTTCTATTTCACTAACACGGCTGATGAGAGAGAGAGAGAATGACAATGACAAGAGCGAAAACAGTTTAAACGGTCTAATTGTTCAAACTCAATAAGACTGTCCTTTTTGCATTTTCCTAAAGCTTAAGATATAAATAATTGCCTGAAATAACAAGGAAAACAATTTCCCATGGGAACTCGCGAAAATAAATTTCAAAGCTCAGAGAAATTGTGCAAACACGGGTAAAATTTTATCATATGAACTTCAAAATTTGTTTTCGACATTTGGTGTTGATAAAAATGTTTTCTTTTGAGAATATTTTTATCCTGTCGCACAGAAGTTTCTAATAGTAAAAATACAGTGTAAATAAACTCGGTATAAAGTTTTTGTCCATTTGTTACTCAAACCTCTGGTGGATTCCTGCGTAAAGTCGAAAACTTGCTTTCCAAGAAAGACTGAGTTCGCAGCTTTTCGCAAGAAAAGTTGCAAAGCAAGACGTCGCAACCTCGTGGCGTTATGTTGGTACCATATTGTCGTCGAAAACTTTTGTCTGAATAATAAGCTTCGGATAGTCTTCGAGTGCTTCTACGATCGCACGAGAATTTTACGAGGACCGAAGTTATTCCCTGGAATCTCTCAGAAAATTCTATTTTGTTTTGAGTTTTTGCGGCAAATCAGTGATGTATTTACTCACGGTTTTATTGTGGAGGTGTCCCAATGAGTGAGAAGTAGATCAAGATATTCGCAGCAACGCCTGCAAAAGAAATGACAAGATAAGAACATAAGCATTTGATTTTATGCCAAGCTATGACCAAATAACTGCAGCTAGACTAAATGATACAAACAGTTACACTAACTGCCTTACCAGAGTTTCAACAATGAACTGTCGTTGGTATGTCGCTATGTTTAAGTGGAAACGTCTTTAAACAATCATAAGCGACCCTGTGATCAACATAACCATTATCATACGAAAAGAAGCCATCATTTTTTTTTTTTTTTTTTTTTGCGATCATTCATAAATTCTGTGATAATGACAAGTTCAACTTTTTACAAACGGACACAAAACCAGTTACCTTCTTATGATGCTCGACTTTGATGTCATATTGTTCGTTAGAATAGGAATAAGTCGATGATTGTGTGTATTCTGTTTGAAAACAAAATAATAAATTAAAGTAATTAGTACTCTACGTTATGGGCGTACAACACGCATTTACAAACCAAACAACGAAACAAGATGCGTTAAAAAACTGACCTTTAGAATAAACCTGATACATGCGTGTCCAGAAGTTGCCATGATCTACCGGAGAAGAACGACAAAATGCATCAGAACGCTGCTGTAAACAACGATGGAAAAAAGTAATATCCACCTTATTTCTGACGCAGAACCAACGGAAACTTATTTGGAGCAGAACTTTCGCTGATTTAAGAACTTTCACTCTTTGGAAATACAGGAACTTAGGAACACCTAAAGTACGCAGTCCAATGCAGGTTTTGGCGGGAAAATTCTGACGAGTATGTTTTCGGAAATCCTTGCTTCAGCACCCGACGACTTCCGATTCATAGTGCCCGATTAAAATAGAGCACCAGCACTTCCAAAGCTGTCACGTCAGCTTGTTGAGATCGGAAGTCGACGGCTACAACAATTATCCGAAAAAGGACCGAAGATATTGACTGAAGATTGTGTCAGAGTAAAAGAAGAGAAAGCAAACTTCTTACCTTCGCGCTGTTTGTGATCAAGTTGATAAGAGTTGGCAAGACGGCTTCTGCCGTGTGATCAAACTGATTTTTCAGAACGGTTGATAAGTAGCTATAATGAAGAACATAACATCAACATTATTTTCTCAGCAAAAGGTACATTCTACGAATGTTCACGAATTGCTAGAAAAATCGGTTTTTATTTTAGTGAGTCTCACCTCATAGTTACACAAGCCTCTCGGGCGACGGATGATCGCAGATCCTTTGTCTAAAAAAAAACAATAAAACACATCGTACGACAAATGAATATTTTATAAAAATTTAAATCTAATCTACATTTACAATGTTAGTACAAGAAAATAACCACTTCTACTATAAACCAGTTTATATTTGTTATCTCAACCTCAACCAATAAAGAGTTTTCACTTACCGATAACTTGAAAGCACCCTCTTGAAGTCTTAGTAATGAGACAAAGTTATCATACTCCAAAGCGCCCCCTATGACTAAACTGCGAATTTTCTTGAGCTATGGGGAAAACCAATATATATGCGATAGTAAGTTAATAATTCTATTAGTCACTCAGCTTCAAGGTTAAAACGAACAACAAATTCAAGAGTATCACTGCTGAGAAAGGTGAAGAAGCTATGTAGCGATTTACAAGGCATTTTTGAATTTGTGCAAAATTCCCCTCAGGTAGAGGAAAACGTAAAATAATGACGTGCTATGATAATTTAAAAACGCCAAAAACGTAGGATTAAATCTGAAACGATCAAAGATGGGCAAGATTCATTGGGAAAGATTGACACGAATTGCAACACATAATCTCAACACATTAAAGCTAAACTTTCCGATATAATGTACTTTCTCCA